CGTACATCTACCATGTCCAGACGCACAGAAAAGTCTCTTGGAGCGATGCCCTAAACTCAACAGGACGTCGGCCATTTCTAATTTTACTGCGAATTTTGGATGATTTACTCATTACGTACTTTAACGAACTCCAAGTAGGGATTTAGTCGGACCAACTTCACATTTCTGCTGTGCCTTCTAAAGGCATTGACGATGTAAAGTTGTGCTATCTGCGCATTTTCGTCGATGGGCGTGGCCCTGGCGTCGAAGATTCGCCATGAAACAGGAAGTTGTAGTAACTTGGCTGTAAATGCCCAGATCTGCACAAAATTTAACACATTTGACAAGAGTCCCGCCCTGAACAAATCTACATGCCGACATTCACCCACAGTCATAGCGCCACCTGCTGGCAACAGGAAGTGACCTTTAATGAAGCAGCGTAGCAAATTCACAGCCGCACCGGCTGAGCTGCAAAATATGCAACGCGGCCGCCTCACACCCCGACGCGCTACAGGTGCGAGGGCCCGCCCATCGCTGCTTGCAGCTTTAATTTATCATGTTTTTCATTCGGCTGTCACACACACATACTGTCTCTCTCATACACACACTGTCTCTCTCTCTCTCATACACACACACATACTGTCTCTCTCATACACACACTGTCTCTCTCTCTCTCATACACACACACATACTGTCTCTCTCAAACACACACTGTCTCTCTCTCTCTCACACATACACACACACACACACACACACTCTCTCCCACACACACTCACACACCATGATCATTCGACACACTGCAGCGTTTGACTGTAAGTCTGTATCAAATGACTGATCAGGAATCAAAGCACTTCAAACCGTCGAGAAACACGATCATGGAGTCAGACTCTTGATTGACAGCTCTGAGTTTGATTGACAGCTGTCGGCGCACACGTCTCCGTGAAAACCTAGAGGTTTAAAGGAAGAGCGCGAGAGAACGAGGCCATGAAACCTGACGCTGTGCTTACAGAGAAACACACTTTACTCTCTGAAGGTCAGATGCACGTGCTCACACACACACACACTCTCACTCAAACTCTCAAACACACACACTCTCACTCAAACACACACACTCTCACTCAAACTCTCAAACACACACTCTCACTCACTCACACTCTCACTCAAACTCTCAAACACACACTCTGACACAAACTCTCAAACACACACACTCTCACTCAAACTCTCAAACACACACACTCTCACTCACTCACACACACACTCTCACACAAACTCTCAAACCCACACACTCTCACTCAAACTCTCAAACACACACTCACTCAAACACACGCTCACTCGCTCACACAAACTCTCAAACACAGACACTCACTAACTCGCTCACACACACAAACTCTCATACACACACACACACACACAATCTTTACTTCGCCTTCTTCACGAGGACACACACACACTCTTTACTCTGCTTCTTCTTGAGGACACACTCTCTCACACACACACACACACTCTCACACTCTCTTTACTTCGCTTCTTGAGACACACACACACACACACTCTTTACTTCGCTTCTTCTTGAGGACACACTCTCTCACACACACACACACACTCTCACACTCTCTTTACTTCGCTTCTTGAGACACACACACACACACACTCTTTACTCCGCTTCTTCTTGAGGACACACTCTCTCACACACACACACACACTCTCACACTCTCTTTACTTCGCTTCTTGAGACACACACACACACACACTCTTTACTTCGCTTCTTCTCGAGGACACACACTCTCTTACACACACTCTATACTTTGCTTCTTCTCGAGGACACACACTCAGGCTCTCGTTCGGCCATGTATCACAGCAGAGCCTCAGTCTGAGATCAGGACACACACACACACACACATCTAATACTCTGTTGCACAAATAGTGTCATGGTTATGGTTCTATGACTCATTGATTATTAAAATAAATGAGCTTCACTAAAAACAACCAGAAGTGTGTGTGTCTGTGAACGTGTGTGTGTGTGCATGTGTGTAAGTCAGAGTGTGTGTGTGTGTGTGTGTGTTCTGCATCTGATCTCTGAACAGCCATTAAAAGCTGAAGCTCATCTAATATTAACAGATGCATTAGAAACTGAAGCTTCATCCGTCCGTCTCACTTCAGTGTCAGAGCTTCACACACACACACACACACACACTGCACAGTACCCCGCAATCTCAGTGTAGAGCAGACGCACAGCAGAACTGACAATCATTCCCCATCGACACACGATCACACACGTCTTTATTCTTCTGTTCTAGTCATTAAAATATCCGTCAGATACAGACATGTGTCAGAGATGTAACAATGACTGCCGTGTGAAGAGTGTGTGTGAGTGTGGAGCGTCTATCAGTGTCTGAGATCAGTGTGTGTGTTGCTCTCGCTCTGTCAGGACAGTGTGTGTGTTGAGTGTCGGTGAGATTCACACAAACCGCAGCTGATAAGAGCTTCACACATCAACACACACTCACACACACTTCATCCTGAGAACAGCTGTCAATCAAAACTCTGGCCACCTTATGCAGTATTAATATCTCAAAATCTGATTTTGTTTGACCTTTCGTGACCCCGCTCAGGGTGTCACGTGACAAAACCAGATAATAATAATAATAATAAATAAAATAAAGACGACTTTTCTTTACACGTGAATTTTATACTAAAACGTCAGTTCTTCATTTGTTTGCCACTGACTTATTTATTCACATACATTTGTTCGTTCAGTTTTATGATGAAAATTGTTTTGTTAAAACTTTCAAGTGTTTTTAGGATCGCTTTAAAATGCGCATGTCTGCAGCCATCGATATGATTATGAATTCAGTCCTGCAGACCTCTATGAATATCATTACACACACCTCAATCTGTCTCCACACATAAACACCGGGTGTTTTTGCTCCGCTTTATGGATTTTTAGCGTCAGCAATATTAAAAATTGCAAAGCAGTTATATAATACAACCTCAGTGTCCATCAGAAGCGCCTGAGAATCACCTTCAGTCCTGCAGAAACACCAATAACCTCGAGGATTCATATTAATTCACAAATCAGCAAATTCAACCTTCCCATTCCCGTTCTGAAACGAGTAGAAACATTTAAAAACGGCTAAAATTACCCGCGCGTTTAAAGACGATTCGATTAGAACTACAAACACGAATAAAAAGTGTTTAAAAACTACAAACATAGCGGGTGTGTAAGACCGACGGTTTTGCTAAACGGGTTTGATTGATTGATTAATAAACGATATCTAAACTGACGTAAATATATGTATTCTGTGTTGTTCATTATATTTAATCTGATACTGCATTGTGAACTTTTATAATGATCCGTTTGGTCATGAAAGACCCACGCGGTCCTTTAAAGACAGAATTATTGCAAAGTTTGTTTGTCCAAAACTCAAAATTATGTAGGCCTACTTTTTATTCATTTATTTATTTATTTCACAAAACTACATAGACCTACTTTTAGGGTGTATAAGTAGGGGATTTCGGACACAGTGTTTAGTGTTTTTCGAGGCATTACATTGAATCACCCTGTATAATGACAATTAAATTTAGCAATTAAAATCTTTAAAATCGCTCAAAACTGATTCTCTCTCTCTCTCTGCGGGAAAGAATGCTCTGAAATAAAGTAGTTGTGTTATTATATTTAATTTTTCTATAATTTTTTTAATTATTATTATATGTATTCCAAGCTTTGCCAATATTGTATTATTTACAATCATGCCAATAAAGACATTTTTGAATTGATTTGAGAGAGCTTCCTGTAAAAGATTGTGTTGTGTGAGCGTCCCTGTGGTGAAGCGCAGCAGCGCCCTCTGCTGGCCACGGGCGGGAACTGCACTCCCGCGCAACCCCAGGGGTTACTGTTGAATCGACAGGCATGTGATGTGAATATATTTAAGATCTGCTGTTTGTCAATCACTGTGAACATTGACACATTATTATGGAAGCCCGTAAATCCTGATGGTTACATATAAAGTTATCATTATGCCATAAAAGCTGGAATTATGATATAGCTGTTAAAGCTGCACTTTAACCTTTAGTAACCTTTTATTTAAAATGTACAACATTTATAAAATAGACGAGTACATCATAAATCCATATCCAAACCGGTTTATTTTTGTTGTATCATGAATCACTACGGTATAACTAAATAAAAGTTGGGTGGTATGACGGTATATATCGTTACTACGGTAGAAAATGTCAAAGTAACAGATTTTTTAATCTGTGTATACACCATAGTCTGTAAGGTATTGATTTCAGACCGAGTGTGACACAACTGCTGCGGAGGAACACAGTACCTGCGTGACGCGTCATTAACAGAGGGAAGTAGATCCGGCTGAAATGTTTTTCCGCAAGACGCATACTAGTGCAGCTTTAAAAGTTAATAATTATGGCATGCATACTAAGTCATAATTATGAGATTTAAAAATTGTAATATACTGTAGACTGTAGACATTGACAGTTATAATCATGAGAGAAAACGTCAATTTGATCTTTCTATGTCATAATTTCAAGTTTTTATATCATAACTATGACTTCGTAGGTTGGCATAATTACGTTTTTCCAAAGCATGTTTTTTTTTTCTTTTATTGTCAGATATGGGCTTCAATCTTTTGTCTTTAAAATCACAAGAAAGCTTAATTATTAGTTTAAAAAAGTAGATTCAGGTAACGCGAGATTATAATTAGTTATAGTGGTATTTTCTTGACCTGTTTACTATAATAATAAATGAACCATTATTTCTTGTAAGATAAAGCACTCACGGGACTGTTTCTGCTGCCTACGTCGTTACGACAAACGAGCGAGTCATTTGAATCATTGAGTCAACGGATTCGTTCAACACTTGATTCATTCCAGTGTTTTCGCGCTGAGCTTCATTCTGCGGTGGATTCAAAACATAAACTCGACACGATAATAATATATGCATAGTATGAAAGAATATTGTGCGTGTTCATGGAGAGGATGAAATCAGACTCAGTAGATTTATATAGATGGGTGTTCGGTTGAGTTATAGATCTTCCAAATGTGGTTTAATTTCAAATATCAGCACATCCAGAATTATGAACAAAAGTGAATACAGTCACATGTCATAAGAGGTTAAAGATCCAGTTAAACTGATTACATTTGTTGGCTAATTTTAACAATTACAAAAAAAAAGCATGAAGTTAATACAAAATAATAATGTATATGTGCGTGTGAATGTTTTTAGTGGCAGTTTGGTCTATTTCTCGACAATCATAACAAAGGATAAAAAAAGCAAAAATGATATAAAACAAAATGATGCATGTAATAACCACATCATTAAATAAATGCCATTAGTTTACATGCTAAAAATAGCACAACATATCAATTCTGACATTATAACAATGCATACGTTGTACTGTGTTAAGATAATAATTTAATGATAATTATTAATACTTTTGGTGCTCATAGACATTCGACAACAAAAGCTTGTCTTACAGTCTTAAAATAGATGTGAATTTTTAAATTAATTCCAGGGCGTTAAAGAAAAGCAGAACTACGAGATGCATTTCATACAGTAAATTATACAGCATCTTGTGGATTTACATCAGCTAATACGTTAAACAATACAGTTCATAGTAGAATAATAGATGCTTACTCTATACTTAAGGCAATACATCATAGGTCAAAAAGTGTTTATGGTGAAACTGAATCACATTAATCCGTCCGTGTGTGTGTGTGTGTGTGTGTGTGTGTGTGTGTGTGTGTGTGTGTGTGTGAAAAAGAACCCAACACAGAACAAAACTAGCGTTTCCCCTGAGGACGTCTGGTGTAAATCATATTGCTCATAGATTTGGTAGTAATGATCGGTAATAATCCTCAGGAACAGATTCATAAGGCTCTAAAGCATCAGATTTACATTCAGTAGCAGATCAGTTTGCTTTATACACCTGTGTGTGTGTGTGTGTGTGAGTGTGTGTGTGTGAGCATTGAACACACACTGTTCTGACGCGAGCTTTAGCTGAACCTGAGCCTGTCGAAGTGCTCGCTGAAGCCGCGCGGATCGACTCTGGCAGTGTCTCCAGTGTTTGCATAGACGTTCAGATGTTGGTTTCACACTGCATGACGGCGTCTTTACTCTCGTTGAGCTCCTGCGTAGCGCTAGTGTCTGCGTTAGCATCTGCGTCGTGCTGCGCGGCCCGCTGGTACGTCTCCTCGCGCTTGCGCTCGCGGTCCAGCAGACGGTAGTTGATGAAGTTCCCGATGAAGAGCCAGATGCTGGAGAACACCACCACCGCTCCACAGCACAGGTACATGTACTTGTAGTTCTTAGTGATGTCCACTAGCTTCCCTGCAGAGCAAACATGGCCGCCAAGTTATTATTTTCAGTTTGTGTAATTTCCCCCCGTCGTCAATCATTTTATCCCTCAAAACTCATCTCTGAGCACCAAAATTACATATTTAAACTTTTTTAGTGCATCTATCATCATAAAAGTACATCCATCCATCATAAAAGTGCATCTATCCATCATAAAAGTGCATCTATCCATCATAAAAGTGCATCCATCCATCATAAAAGTGCATCTATCCATCATAAAAGTGCATCTATCCATCATAAAAGTGCTTCTATCCATCATAAAAGTGCTTCTATCCATCATAAAAGTACATCCATCCATCATAAAAGTGCATCCATCCATCATAAAAGTGCATCTATCCATCATAAAAGTGCATCTATCCATCATAAAAGTGCTTCTATCCATCATAAAAGTGCTTCTATCCATCATAAAAGTACATCCATCCATCATAAAAGTGCATCTATCCATCATAAAAGTGGATCTATCATCATAAAAGTACATCCATCCATCATAAAAGTGCATCTATCCATCATAAAAGTGCATCTGTCCATCATAAAAGTGCTTCTATCCATCATAAAAGTATATCCATCCATCATAAAAGTGCATCTATCCATCATAAAAGTGCATCTATCCATCATAAAAGTGCATCTATCCATCATAAAAGTGGATCTATCATCATAAAAGTGCATCCATCCATCATAAAAGTGCATCTATCCATCATAAAAGTGCATCTATCCATCATAAAAGTGCATCTGTCCATCATAAAAGTATATCCATCCATCATAAAAGTGCATCTATCCATCATAAAAGTGCATCTATCCATCATAAAAGTGCATCTATTCATCATAAAAGTGCATCTATCCATCATAAAAGTGCATCTGTCCATCATAAAAGTATATCCATCCATCATAAAAGTGCATCTATCCATCATAAAAGTGGATCTATCATCATAAAAGTGCATCTATCCATCATAAAAGTGCATCTATTCATCATAAAAGTGCATCTATCCATCATAAAAGTGCATCTGTCCATCATAAAAGTGCATCTGTCCATCACATTTATCCAATTTTCTGATTCATAGATGCAGTTTTATGGACTTCAAAACAGAAACACTCATTCACTGCCATTTATAAAGTTTGGAAGAGCCAGGACATTTTTTAATATAACTCTGATTATATTCGTCATACACACCTAAGATGGCTTCAAGGTGAGTAAATCATGGGCTAATGTTCATTTTTGCGTGAACTATCCCTATAAATATATATTTCTGTTTGAATCTCTGAGTGAGTTTGAGTGAGTGGAGGCGGGGCTCATTTGCATATTCATAGAACCACCTATACTACATGAGGCAAGGGTGTCGAGTTACATTCAAGCTATTGTAAGACATAAAGACATTTTTTCAAGGAAACCGCTAATTTTGGAGTTTTCGGATAGAATGATTGGTTTCAGCTGGACGTTGTGCGTCTCCTCACCTGCCAGCGGCGGCCCGATGAGCACCGGACAGCACTCCACGATGGTGGTCAGACCCACGGCGCTGGAGAACCTCTGCGGCCCCACCAGGTCCATCAGCGTCTCGAACAGAACCGCGCTCACCATCCCGAAGGCGAAGCCGAAGAACACGGCGTACACCACCATCCCGGTGTAGCTCTGGACCAGCGGGCACAGCAGGTGGCACACCCCGTTATACAGCACCGCGAAGCTGAAGAAGTATTGGATCCGGGGCCGCACCCAGCGGGAGTTGGCCAGCAGACCCATCGACGGCCGGGCGAACATGTCCACGAACGCCAGGATGGACAGCAGGAACGCCGCTTGGTACTCGTCCACGCCGTTGTCTAGAAGTTTAATTCATGTAGAAAGAGAATTCGCCTCTGAAAACGATTCTTTCTAAAAATTTGGCCCGAGAGGAGATTTTGGAAAACGTTGTTAGCATGTAAACTGAGAAAACGACGTTTTAGCTAGCCGACGTCACAGTACGCGAGAGCCTGCGTTCAGAGTGTGACCTTGCGAATCGATTTGTTCGCTCGAGCCTCTCGTTACACTGCCACCTACAGGTTTATCAGGCTGGTGACGGCACAAACACACGGGTTTGTGTAAACGAACACTTCTCTGAGACTGACAGGTGCGCACGACGTTTTTCTGAAATGAAAATAACCGGCTGTTAAAACGTGTAGAGCCGGTGAATATCTCCCCTCAGAAAGTCCTGCTCGCGAGGCGCTACTGTTACATGATTGGTCGAGTTCATGCCGCATTTTGATTGGCTGACTCCACGCAGCTCTGTGCTATTCACATCAGCAATGGAGTTTAAAACATACGGCCGATGGACCGACGACGAGGTACCGGCTTTACGCTTAAATTCAGAAGTCGCGCGTAGTCCTGCGTCACCGCATTAATTCGCCTAATCTTCACGATACTTTAGACAGCGACGGGTCTGGAGAGAAACGCTCCTGGGAGAAAGTGTTCTGGGTAATTTCAGTGGAGACGCGGCTTTACAGTCATGATTCAGTTCCACTCACAGTGCAGTATCTGTATCGTCGTGCGTTACATTTATGATGTCATTATTGTGATTGTGGTGTCATGTGTGGATGCACCGGCACCGTAAGCTTTGCTAATTAACTTCATTGCACAATACATGCAGAGGAACTGAATTAAAGGACACTCACCTTTAGCGTAGGACGAGAGGAAGACGATGGGCGCGAAGAAGCCCAGGAACATGATGACGTTCCCCGACAGGTAGATGAGGAAGCCGCGGTGTTTGAAGAGCGACAGGTCCAGGTACTTGTTGATGGTCTGCCAGGCCGTGAGCTTCTCCTGCGCCGCCGGCTTCACTGCGACGGGCTGCTTCGGGGCCGCCGGCCCCACCAGGGGCCTCATGAGCGCTCCGGCCACGCAGCAGTTCAGCATCAGCCCGCCCAGGATCAGGAAGCTGCCGCGCCAGCCGTACTCGTTGATCAGGTACTGGTTCAGCGGCGCCAGCGTGCTCAGGAACACCGGGCTGCCCGCCATCGCCAGGCCGTTCGCGATCGGGCGCTTCTTGTAGAAGTAGCGGCCGATCATCGTCAGCGCCGGCTGGAGGTTAAACGCCAGACCGAAGCCTGAGAGAGAGAGAGATACGGGACAGTAAGGGAGTGTGTGTTCAGATCGAGACACTGTGAGTGTGTGTGTGTATCTCACCCCCGATGACGCCGATGCAGATGTAGAGCTGGATGACGTTGTTGCAGAACGAGGCGCCGATCATCCCGACGGCACACAGGAATCCTCCCAGGATCATGATGGGGCGACAGCCGTACGCGTTCACCAGGATGCTACTGATGGGGCCTGACACACACACACACACACACACACATCATGAGACGAGCAGGACTAATGCACCTCACACACACACACTCTCTCTCACACACTCACTCACTTACACACTCACTCACTCACACACACAGTCTCTCACACATACTCACTCACTCACTCACACACCACATCATGAGACAAGCAGGACGAATGCACCTCACACACACTCTCTCTCACACACTCACTCACACACTCACTCACTCACTCAGACACACACTCTCACACACACACATCACATCATGAGACGAGTAGGACTAATGCACCTCACACACATACACTCTCTCTCTCTCACCCCCACACACACACACACCCCCACACACACACGCTCACTCCCCCCCCCCCCCACACACACACACTGATGTGTAAAGTGGATTAGAGTCATTAATCTTGAGCCCAGAATGTTTCGAGAGCAAGAGACGGTGTTCTCTGAGGTGGAACTTTTTACTTGCACTCTTATAATCCAGATGCATCATGGGATATTTGACTTCACTAATGATTTCCAGAGCTGAAATGAGAAACATGAACATGTCTGTGTGTGTGTGTGTGTGTGTGTGTCTCAGCATCAGCCTATGATGACTCTCCCTCAACCCATCCTGGTGTGTGTGCATGTTAATGCTTGTTCATAATAAAAGATGCTGATTTAATTTCGGCTTTGTTTAATTTTTCGACTTTTTCACACACACCTGCGTCACACACACCTGTAACACACACACACCTGCTGGTGTTTAGGGTCAAACGGAGGCTGATTAGTCCAGTAATGAATTTCATTAGATGTGAACTGAAAGTGGTTCCTCAGACATTCATTACACTGAGATCATATTTACACACACACACACACACACACACACCGTGTGTTTACCTCCAGCGTACATGACGGCCAGCATGATGGAGGAGATCCAGGCCACCTGACTGTACGAGGCGTCGAAGATCCTCTGGATGTCCTTGAAGAACACAGTGGTGGCTTTTGGGAAGGCGTAGGAGAAGCCGATGGAGATGAAGGCTCCGCCCACAACAGCCCAGCCCCACCCACCATCAGGAGGCGGGACCACTGGCGGCCCGACGGGAGGAGGCATCGCGGGGTCACTGCGACACACACACACACACACCGTCACACGGCAGATTCTGACCATAGACTGTGTATACACTGGGCGTAGAGTGTGTGATGTCACCCGTAGTGTTTCTGAGCCCAAAGTGGGCGGAGTTGGCCGTCACCATCTTGGCCGCGTCACTCCCGGATAAACGAACATGTGCAGCGAGGCGGATTAGCTGAGGTGACGTGACGCTAACGCTAGCAGACAAACGGCTAGCAGTGACATCAGCGGCAATCCACCTGTCACTCAAGTGGCCGCGCCCTTAATTATGCACAACTTTAAGGCTGTATTAAGTGGTTTTGCCCTTGATCGCTAATGTTGCTCTTTATGACGACTGTGAGGGGGTGCATTTTTTACAACTCCTCCGTTTAAATTATATTAAGCCTTAAAGTTCTGCATAATTAAGGGCGTGGCCACTTGAGTGACAGGTGGATTGCCGCTGATGTCACTGCTAGCCGTTTGTCTGCTAGCGTTAGCGTCACGTCACCTCAGCTAATCCGCTTCGCTGCACAAATGTCGCTGCACACGGCTCCGCCCACTTTGGGCTCAGAAACACTACAGGTGATGTCACACACACTACGCCCAACAGTTCTTTCTGAAACCCTGCAGAAATGAGAGTGTTTAGTCTCCGGTGGGCAGACAGTGAGCACAGAAATAGCAGCGACGAGGAACGAGTTCTAATTAAGAACAAACACAGCTGTCAATCACTGAAGAACTAAGCCCCACCTCTTGGAGACGTGGGCGGGGCTACAGTCATCATTTACAAACCAAACAAAACTCAAGTGATTCTTATCATGTGATGCTTCAGTTATGAAGGCAAAGCTCTCTCACACACACACACATGTGATGTTCCCAGCTCAGAGCTAAAGCTGTGTAAGATAAGCTCGTTTTCTACACACACTTCCTGCAGAGTGATCTCAGGACACACTGACTCCTGTTTCTGCTGATTCTGCATGTAGAATGTTTTGTCGGTACAAAGAGTGCACGTGTGTGTCTTTCTCTACTATAAATGACTCTTGATTTGATATTTTGCTGTCTAACGCTCAGATTATGAACCAATCGCACGTCTTGTTGAAAGTGATGCGGTTGCGTCTGATCCAATCAGAAGCTCGGTACTAATTCAGTGAGGTGATTGGCCGACAGAACAGACTCGGGTGACGCCGTAACCTGACACCTGGTGACATCAGCGCTGAGGTCTGGTCATGTGACCGGCGTGTGTTTCTGACCACCGTCCTTCAGCTTCAAGGTCTCAGTGTAGTCTGAAACGCCTCATGAATATTTAATTAGATGGCATTCCTGTGTCTCTTTACAGCACACTGGAAAAGCCTGTAATCTACCAGCGAAAGCAAGATTGTTAATGTGTTTAAAAGAAGTCTGTTTATTGGATTAAAAATAGAAATATTTTGTGAAATATTATTACAATGTAATGTCATCAGTTTTCTATGTGAATATACAGTAAAGTGTAATTTATTCCTGTGATCAAAGCTGAATTTATACTCATTACTCCAGTCTTCAGTGTCACATGATCCTTCACAAATCACTCTAATATGAGGATCTGATGCTCAACACACAGTTATGATTATTATCAGTGTCGAACACAGTTATTTACACTTATTTCAGGATTATTTGATGAATAGAAAGTTTAAAAGAACAGCATTGATCTGAAATAAAAAGCTTTTGTAACATTAAACTCTACCGTTCAACAGTTTGCGGTCAGTAAGAATTTTTATTACATTTTTTGGGGAAAAGAAATAAAATAAATCAATACTTTTATTCATCAAGATTGAATTAAATTGATCAAAAGTGACAGTAAAGACATTTATAATGTTACAAAAGCTTCCATTTCAGATCAATGCTGTTCTATTCATCAAATAATCCTGAAATAAGTGTAAATAACAGTTTTAACACTGATCACAAATCATAACTGTGTGTTGAGCATCAGATCCTCATATTAGAGTGATTTATGAAGGGTCATGTGACACTGAAGACTGGAGTAATGATGATAAATTCAGCTTTGATCACAGGAATAAATTACACTTTACTGTATATTCACATAGAGAACAGCTGATTTATATTATAATAATATTTCACTGTTTTACTGTATTTTTAATCAAGTAAACGCAGCTTTGGTGAGCAGAACACATTCCTGTGAGTGTGGGTCAAAGGTCACGCCATGTTTGAATCGGAGGAAGGACTCTTTGAAGGTCTTCGAGACGAGAAGTTCAAAAACAAGATCCAGTTCCCAGACTTTAGAGGAACAATGGCCGTCTCCACCTCTGTTTGATGTTTCAGGACATCTGAGATATCATAACATAAACGCACATAATGTACACATACACACGTACACCGCACTCTTGATCATATTCATATGTGATGATCACATGACCAGAGTTCACACTCGTTCAGAGTCTTCAATCGGTACTGACGGATCAAGCAAACGTGAGAACAACTCTGATATCGTTAGTAATATTTCAGCCGGTTTATCATTATCATTTATTATAAAGATCGCGAGAATCAAATATGATCATCTGCAGGGTTATTAGTTCATCTCTCAATCATTATTGTATTGCATTATATGTTTGAAAAGTCATTTACGAAGACACATTATTAGCAGATATATGATTGATATATGATTTATGAGAGTATCAGCTGTTCCGTTTCTCATTAATTTGAGCATTTTTGCATTAAATTGAAGTGTTTGTTCTCCAGACCATAATTCTTCAACGAAAATAATCCAATATTTATCAGCTTTAATATATCGGCCACATTTTCTTATTGGACTGATAACGATAATAGTATAAAAAATGAACACGATACACATCATACGGTCTCTAATATTCTCATGATGTCATAAATATGATGCAAAACAAAACATGCAATTCTTTTGCAGGTTTTATTAAGGGTCATTATCGTGACCTTTGACCTTCTTCTGGAGAACACACTCCTCACTGGTCCTGATGAACACACACACTGCATTTATGATGCTTACAGTGGAAAACACACATTAATTGTCAATCTATCTTGTTTTGAGGTGTTTTACAGGAAAAGGGCCAGATGTGTGTGTCAGGATCTGGTGTCTCGTGTGTGTGTGTGTGTGTGTCAGAGATGTGAAAACATGACCCTAAAGATAAACAAATGCCCGGGCGTCTCCTTCAGGACTCAGCGTGAGCCGTGGATGCTGTGCTTCACTCTTCCCACGGCTAACACACACACACACACACACACACACACATGCATTACTTGGAATAACACTTTAACTGACCTCATTTTTTAACTTGTTGCCACTTTTCATCTAGTTTAAGTAGAAGTCCTACACTTACTATAGGGTTAGTGTAGGACTGGGCTGAGGGATAGTTGCATGTAATTATGCATTAATTACTGTTCTTAACATTGTAACACGGACCCAAAAATGAACCTAAACTCCTACAGCTCAACACACACAAACACACACACACACACACAGCAGGAGTTTGAGACTGTCAGATCATGTAATAATATATCAGACAACTCTATATTACATTATTGCGAGGTCCAATGACTCCTTCTGTAAACATTATTTAATATCCACATCATAAACACACACACAAACACACCATGCACGCTGAATGTGCTGATACAGGCACGTGACCCGTGGAGTGACCCAGATGAGCCAAACCCGCTTACAGCATCAAAGCCGGATAAATATAGAACTCTATTCACTTCTATTCTCTCTTCTGTTAGACGGGTGCAGCCGCTCCATATTCATCATTCATCACATTAATCTGCAGTCCAGGCCTTATTAACAGTGTGTGAGTGTGTGTGTGCATCATCAGCACATGATCCACAGCATCATTTGTTGATTCTCGTTCAGCATCATTCAGATAACGGGACCGTCCCGGCAGCAGCAAACACATCCTCCTCATCCTCATCATCATCATCATCATCATATCAGAAAGCCTGCTTACCTTCAGGTCCGGTTATCAGTGCTGTCTGTGTCTCTGACCTTCAGTCGCTGCTGCGGAAAGACGCTCCGCACGCGCGTTTGAATCAGTCGGCTGTGACGTCACTCGCGCTTGGCTTTCCCGGGGCGCGGTAACGGTCTCTACTTGGCTCATGAATATTAATGAGACGGCGTGACGTACGCGCTACGCGAGTGGCTATGAGGAAGGAGTGTGTTCGGGTGGGCGGGGTCACATCCGGGTAGGTTTACCGTCTGCAAAGTCGTCATAGCATAGTATAAATATTTATTATGATCAAGTAAAAGGCCGCACGAGCTCAACTCTTGTTTGTTATTCCAGTCACATAGTTTGGGGGCTGCTTATGAAAGTCTTAACGGGGCTTATTGTACTTATTGTAAACAATCAGCAGGGAGAAAGAATGTATGTCTCACATGATCCGCCTTTGCTGTAAACACATTATTATTCTGCCAAAGCAACACGTAATCCAGAAAGGGAGGAAATACAATAATAGTAACGTTACATTAATCCGAGGAGACAGTTTGGAGACTCAGGTTTGGATTAACACAGTTTTATTATACGAAATAATGATCTTTCAGAGAGACACGTGATGACGGAGAGATTTAGGCGCTACTGCTTTGTTAACGAAACAAAATTCATGCATTATTATGGGAACATTAGTTTTGAGCGTTCTGAAACAGGTAACTAATAAAAAACGTTCCATGAACGATGTAAAATAATGTTTTTGTGCTAACGGTTTGGGGACGTTATTAAAGCCCAGATAACTTTTCAGGTTTAAATGTTCAATCGAGCAATTAATGTGTATTTCTTCGTCGTTCTCCCTCAAATACATGCATGGTCGTGACTGATTCGTTCATTTTGCGTCGTCACGTGGCAAACGAAGAGAGTCGAGTGAACTAATCGCTTCTGCTTCTCATTAAGACGCTGCACTGTAATACGATTTAATTCAGAGTATGACGTAATAATAATTTATACTTATATAGCGCCTTTCACGGGACCCAACGACGCTTTATATATAGCTACATAAAGAATAAGGAAGAGAATATATAATAAAATAAAATAAGTAAATAATAATAATTAATCAATCCTGGTTATGGATATAGGTAGCCTATGAGTATGATCATTATGTATTTTGGTAATTTGGCTATTAAAAATCTTACAGTTTCATTAGCAGGATATGCAAATTGATATAGAGCTGTGCGGAAGTATCGTTTATATATATTTATATATCCAACTTTATTTAAAGAATTGTTCGTGTGTCTCTCATCACCTCCTCCAGGTGGCGTCATTGAGCTGGTCCTCCTTTTTTTTTTTTTTTTTTTTTTTCTGGAGTGAAACCTGGAGTAGATTCTGTTTAGAACTGCATACTAATTGTCAGAGAAATGTGTGTTTGGACTGAAAGGTATAGTTCACTTTGAAATTAATTTTTGATATGTTTTATCTTACCTCAAGGGCATCCAAGATGCAGGTGTCTTTGTTTCCACAGTATTTTCAATTTTGACATTTTTCGGTCAAACCGTTGTTGTCTATCAGTCATATAATGCAGGTCTATGGTCACCACCTCAAAGAGCATGCACAGAGAAGTCCAAATTAAACATGATTTAATGACTCGTAAATGTAAGTACACATTGATGGCCTAAGTCACGAAACGAGCGGTTTGTGTGAGAAAACGAACAGTATTTATATCGTTTTTACCTCTTGTTAACAGCCATGTTCTAAACATTTATAAACATAATGTCCTAGACATTTTGAACTTAAGGGGATCGTTAACAAGACGAACTTAGAACATGTATTTCTGTTAGCTGGGGGCTGATTTTACATCTGAAGCTTTTGCTTCTTTGGGGATGTTTCTATATGTTTGCATTGATGTGTGTGTGTGTGTGTGTGTTAAGCGGCTCCAGTGAACACCATAAATAATTTTCAGTCACAGTCAATAGTTTCTGCCCCAGTCGATGTTTAATAACCTCAAACGTGATCATAGTTACCCAGGCAAGTGCACTGATTAGTGTAGCGGGAACAGTGACACTGTATCGTTCTTCACACATTACTTTTGAATCTGAAACATTTAAAAAAACGTTACATTTAAAACAAACACCAACTGAAACATTCCAGAAGAAACATTCCATGAGCGATGTTTGTGTTCTAATGTTCTCAGAACATTATTAAAGAGCGGAGAACTCTCACTGAACGTTCTAGTAATGTTACTCTTGTTGAGTACTTTGAGAGACAGACAGGTCTGAACTTTATTAAGAACATTATTAAGCGGACTCACGGCGGTTTGCAGCGTCTGGCTCGCGGCCCTGAGGACAAACTCACTGATTCAGTGTGTAATTTCATTAATTATAAGAGGCGTGTGTGGTGAGCGGAGTGTGTCGTACACTGCTCTCTTTATGAGCCACTCACACACACACAGAGAGGGTTTGTTTCTGACAGCGGCCACACGTCTGACCTGAGCTGTGTGTGTGTGTGTTCTTTGTGTTTATGTGTTTGTGTGTTCATGTGTTTGTGTGTTTATGTCATAAACAGTATCAAAGTTATTCTCACATTTTCTTGATAAAATCAGGTCAGATTTCAAGATGCCACCGTTATGCTGTACCGTATATATAGCGCTTTTTCCAACACAGATTGTATCAAAGCAGATTCACAGTGATAACATGAAAATAATGCAAGTTTAGTTTTAAACATAAAGTTTTTTTCTAGAAGAAAATGGTCCACCTGAAGTAAGGCAGATCAAAAATATTATTGTTGAATATTAAATGTAGGAACCCGATCTCAGCTCAGTTCTGGCCAGCGAGAGCGGTGTGTGGTCAGGAGCAGGTCAGAGGTCAGAGTGGACAGTTAAACTAAACTTGACATCAGAGTCTAAACTGATCATGTGATCATCAGATGTGAATATGATACAGAAGCTTTATGGGTTAATGACTCGTGTTTGTGATTCTTGGCTGAACAAACAGCAGTAAGTGCAGTTCCAGAATACCCAGAATGCCCTGCGCCTCCACAGACCGCAGATATACCTGCAGGAATGAGCGTGTGTGTCTCCGCACAGAATCGGCCCTTCTTCCACTCGTAAACACCATCAGCTGTCAAACACACGGCCATGTTTGTGCTGGCGGAGCAGTGCATGCTGGGAAGACGGGGTTTCTGCTATTCTGAGTATAAAGACTGGCATCTGTCCACGAGCCGAGACGCAGGACTCGTTTAACACGGATCTTTTACACCAAAGACATTGCATTCATATTTTACGCCAACAAATGTTCGCCGTCAATAAACACAAGTGTTGGGCGTAACACTTCACACGAGTTCCCTAAGCAGATTTAATGCATTACTTTACATTTACAACAGAACACAGAACCAAACATTTTTTTATTTCCATAAAGCGTAACAGTTACTTTCTTCAGGAGTAACACAATATTGTAATCACTGAATAACACACACACATGATCTACGCCTGGAAGTCACAAGTTTCTTACAAAGTCACAGCACAGGTTGTTATTATTAAGCATAAAAATGACAAATTCATATGTTTAACCCAAACGTTGGGCTAAAAATGTAACCCAACGGCTGGGTTTGTCCATATTTGACCCAAAGTTGGTTTGGAACAACCCAGCATTGTTTTAGAGCATATTTCAAATAAATAGGCCTAAATAACAACACAACCATTATAAATAAATATAAATAATATATTTATTTAATATGTTTTTTTAAAGTATGAATTGCTTACAAGCAGGATAAAATAAGCCTTTACATGTCTTTTTAAATCAATCCTTAATAAGTTGTTATATTCGGGCCGAACCGGACGATCGTTAGCTTGAGGTTATAATCATGATTAGAAATGAAAGCAAATGCCGTTTGCTTAATAAGAATTGATTTCTGTCTGTCTGTCCCTCTGATTATGTAGGACAATCAAATATTCAATCCAACCACTAACCTACTTATAATTCATAATGATCGGGGAAACATGTCATGACTCCTGGGTAATACACTCAGGATCACAAACTAGGATTGTTCCTGTAAAGGGTTTAGTGGAAACATACTTTTCTGATGGATTTAAGAAATAAAGCTTGTCCACACCTTATTATACAGGAACATGTTATTATAGGGGCCAAAATCATCACATTAAATAAACGTTTTATATGTTCAAGTGATTCCATGCAAGCTGCTGAAATCAGAAATGATGACACTGAATCAAATTACGATGTAAAAAGTCGAAATTATGACATAAAAGTCAAAATTGTGAGTCAAATTTAACAAAAATGTGAAATTATGACATACTAAGATAAAATTATGACATTAAAAGTCAAACTGTGAGATGAAAACTCTCAATTGACTTATAAGTATCGAAATTCTGCCTGAAAAACTACTGATTATGAAATAAAAACGGGAAAGCCAAATGTTCTCGTGCCAAATATTTTGATAAGCGTCTCTGTCTGCCTGTACTACATTACCCAGAATCCCTCTTGGTGGTCAGCCAACGGGAGCGCGCGCCGCGGAATGCTGTTCTGATTCCAGCGCGCGGTGGAAAAAAGTTCCTCAGAGATGGAGCGGTTGGTGAGGCGCTGATTTATGTACTTTTATTCATGATATTAAACGCGAAAAGAGAGTTAATTTGACGCGGACCTGCTTAGATCTTTGTTCTCTTTCATATTCGTGCGGAATTGAAACTTTTAAGGATCGATTTTGTGGACTTTTTGTTAGTTTTGTTGTTGTGGGTGAAAATGCCGCAGCCCGCTCGCGCTGTGAGCTTCGCGCTGCTTGTGTTTCACCTCACGGGATTTAAAGCGCTTCACGGAGACTCGGACCTGGACCCGGACCCCTGCCCATCCGTGTGCTCGTGTGCGGGACCCCACGCCGACTGCAGTGCACTGAAACACGGCATGATCTCGGAGCGGCTGCCCGCGCGGACCAGGAGCCTGTGAGTGTGTTTTATCTCAGATCCTTTGTGTCTCTCTCGATCAAACAAACACAATCAAAACATCCACATTCGTTTAGATATGGGAAAACACACACGGTGGTGAATGATAACAGTGTGCGGACCGTTTAGACCACTGAAGTGAAAAACAACTAAAACAAACAAGGCTGAAACTAGAATAAACAAAC